CCCTAGTATCAGCTTATATCTGCCCCCATTATTCTATTATTAAAAGAATAATAGCCATTTAGCTCAGTAGACTTACAGCCATATTTCAAATACACAAAAAATACACAACAAAACAGCTGAATCTAATTTTTTTATGAAAATTGTTCCTTTTAAAGTTATATTTGTTTTCGCTTTTTACAAATCTGTTTTGCATATTGTTTGGTAAAACTTTCATAAATCTTAAAATGTTGTCTTCTATAAATTCATTCAGTTTCATAGAATTTAACTCTATAAATTTGTGCGACTCTGTTTCTACTTCCACTAATGACTCTAACAGCTGTTTTCTGTGAAAGGAAAACTGAATTTATATGTTTAACGGGCACTACCCCCACAMTTATTTTAAACTTGACTAAGAATTCCTCACAACCGCTGTATAAATATCAAACCTATGAGCTTCAAAATAAAGGTTATGAATTTTATTTTCACAAACATAAACTTTCACAGGAGAGTTTTTTTTAAACCTCATGAAAACACATTTGCACATATCCAGTATAGGGCTGCGCAATATATCGTTATCGCAATATTTATATCGCGAAGCACTGCTCAGAATGCAATAATTGTTGATTATAATGTTTTTGAAGAGTTTTGAAGTTGTATTTTTGTTGCTAATGCAGTATTTACTCACAGAGGAGGAGGTGCAGACTAGAAAAGGAGGAAAGAAAAGAAAAGATGTATCGCCATCGCAAGATTTTCTGATATAACCTGCTAAAGCTAGCCTTTTTTGTTGTAATGTTMGCAATGAAAATTTAAAATTTAGATGGATTTCAGGAGGAAACATTAGTCCTGGTTCCAAACGACACTCGAGACTCGATGCCCAACCCTACCATTAACCTCCTGCCACTGAAGTGTTTCAGTTTTGTTTTGGTTTTATTACCACTCATATCTGATAAATGCGACAGTAAACCACCAGCCTTCATTAATTAATAATCTGTATTTCCTCTTCTGACAGGTCTGAATGTTTGCTGTAAAAAATAAAAATGGTTTATCTGTTTTTAGTGTAAGAGTTAATAAAAAAAAGTATCAGATTATGCAGGGCTGTGTATTGGCAAGAATTTGGCGATACGATACATACCATGACAGAGGGGTCACGATACGATAT